GGAGGGAATAGGTGAGTCCAGTAGTGTATCAGGGTAAGGGATAATATAAAAGAGGATAGGGGTAAATAAATGTAGGGATTTTTTAAGTCCAGGATCTCTCATGTCCCTCTCAGTCTGTGCCATTGTTGCATATTGTTCAGCTATGTTCACCATCGACTCCTCTTCTCCCAGTACAATGTGGAGTTTCCTCTTCTCTACTTAGAAGTGAAGTCTGGGATGAGAACGGAGAGTCTCTGGAAGTGACTGTCCCTCAGTGATGAACACTTGGGCCACTGAAGCAGGAAATGGCATCCATCCCCTGGTCACAATACTGGCACAGTCTACTTTCCTTGAACTTGTAGGTCTGACTGTGCCACCTTGATTCAATTTCCAGGCTGTGGGTGCTCAGTCTGTACAGGCTCAAAATGTGTCTGTCTTTGGGGTCTGTCTTGGGGCCAGTTTGTGTTCTCTCTATAGCAAGTGGTAAATTGATTCTGGGAGTTTGCTAATTAATTTCTCCATTCTCTGACATATTTTTCTTTGAAATTGTTCATTGTGTCCTTTATTTGATATTTTGTCAGGCCACATTCTTGGGAGCTTTGGATGGACCATGTGGTGATGAGTTGTTGCAGGCCTCATGGTTTGTCGCGCTCCTTGTTGGTCAGTAAGGCTTTATAGTAGTATAAGTTGGGGCTGCTATTTTGTAGGTGGTCCCAGTATGATAGTATTTTGTACTGCAAGCAGTAAATGGAGTCTGCCCAGCTCAGCCTGGCAAGCATTGTTCAAGTTGTTCCGATGCATTAAAAGGATGTGCTTGCAAAATTCCAGATGGAATATTTCTGTTTGTCTGGAGTCTCATGTGGGTTGATCTGGGTAGGTGACGGGGCCCCATACTTCACTTCCATAAAGGAGGGTTGGGATGACAACACTTTCAAAGATTTTAAGCCAGACTCTTAGAGAAGTGTTTTTAGGTGGTACAGTTGTCTCCTGATGGCATAGAAGGTTCTGCTTGCCTTGTCTCTCAGGACCTCTATGGCTGGTATAAAACGTCCTGTTTGGTTTATTGCTTTGCTTCTCTCCCTTTCTTTTTCTCTCTCTTTCTCTCTCTCTCTATCTTCCTCCCTCTCTCTCTCCCTCTCTCCCCTCTCTTCCCCCCTCTCTCTCTCTCCCCCCTCTCTCCCTCCCTCTTCCTCTCTCTCTCTCTCTCTCTCTCTCTTCCTCCCTCTATTTCTTTCCCTCTCTCCCCCCCCCCCTCTCTCTCTCGCTCTCTCTCTCTCCCTTTTTTTTATATGGGGTTTTTATATGGTTTTATATGGAGGAGTGCATATTCACATCACATCTGCTGACGACACAAAATGTGGTTGTTGAGTGAGAGGAGAAGCCTCTGATGATATTTGGAAGCTTGCCAATTGTACAATAAATGCACACATCCTTCTCAAGAGGCTGTCTGAAGTGGGCAAGCCTGTGAAAATAAAAGTCAATATATTCACTGTTTCAAGTATTCCCTCTCTCTGTGCCCAATTCTCAAACAATGGAGTATCAGAGGCATGTTAAACATAATGGAGATATGTCATAAGAGGCTGGCAAAGGAGAGCTTTGATTTGGATTTGAATTGGATTTTATAAAACTCAGATTAAAGTAGATGGTTGGAGTTTCTGGTAAGTCAAAACAAAATAAATATAAACATATGCAGTCTTATCTATTTCACCTGTTTTATTTAAAGACTCTGCAAGCACAGAAAAAAAACTGTTGCTCTGCCAGAAATGCACTCAGCTCCTATACCTTGTTGTGGCCTGGCAACACTCTTGTTTGTGGACTGTGTGATGTCAGTCTTCTCCAGTGTCTTTTGTAAAAGTACTCAACCACTACCACTCTACAACATCTTTAAGATTCTGCATTAACCTCCTAAGGAGCTGCTATTGTTGGATCCTCCTATCATTCCCAGCGATGATTTGCCCTAGGTGGACCCAACAACTCACCGACACACCAGCAGTTATAAGATGAGCTTTATTTAAGCAGGAATAAATCCTGTAAAGAATGTTTTCAGTAAACATGGCAGGATTATCCAAATACTGGAACAATTCAAAGTGCGGCACACAGTGGATACCATTTATTCCACCAGCTGCATGTGTAATGGCCCTGCGACACTGCACTAGGTGGGTAAAAGGGGAAGGATGTTAACGCAGCAATGTCAGCAGTAATGGTAAAGGGAATGCAAATGACAGTGCCAGTAATAGTACCAATAGCAGTGCAGCCTAACTACTATGTACAGGCCCTGTCTAGCAAGTGCTCATTGGAATAATAGAAGTCTGCAGGTGGTGGAGCCCTTGAACTCTATGTTGGAGCACTCGCTCTCTAAACAGGAAAATTGTATTTCATACTTACCGTAATTTTCCTTTCCTGTCCAGCTCCATGGCAGCACACGAATGGGTTAATCCCTCCCTCCTCCCCCTAATCAGGATCGTAACTCATAAAATCTGAAAGAGTACCCTGGCTTGCCGTTCCGTAACTCGACTACTATACGGGTGGGCCTTGTGCTGCCATGGAGCTGGACAGGAAAGGAAAATTACGGTAAGTATGAAATACAATTTTCCTGTTTTCCTGTCAGCTCCATGGCAGCACACGAATGGGAATTAACTAGCCAAAAACAGGGGTGGGTATGCTTGAAATATTTTTAAACACAACTCATGGTAGAAGAAATAACCCTACGGCCGAATTCAACTTCAGTTAAGGCAGCTGGATCTACACAGTAGTGTGTCATGAACTGATGCGGAGAAGACCATGTGGCCGCTTTACACACAGTCCCTAAGGAAACACGATTGGGTGCAGCCCATGATGTGGCCAGACTCCTAGTGGAATGGACAGACAACCCACTTGGGACAGTTATGTGCTCGGCTTCATATGCTAACGATATCGCCTTCCCTATCCAGGATGCTACTGGATGCTGTAGCATCCTTCTGGCACCTGCTGTATCGATAGAGATGATCCGTAGACCTGAGCTCTTCCGTGGCCAAAATATATACGCCTTCAGCGTATTACCCACGTCCAAGCGGCTAATCGGCTCTCATCATCCGACTTGAAGGTTGGTAATACAATTTCTTGGTGTATGTGAAAGTCAGTCACAACCTTATAAATGAACCTCAGCATGGGAACTAGAATCACTCCATCTGCCAGGAAAGTGGAGAAGTGTTTTTTAAACTCAAGAGCGGCCAACTCCAAAACCCGTCTGGTGGAGGTGATAGCAACTAGAAAGGCAGCGTTTAATTCGAGGACGAGTAGTACTGGAGCAAGCACCTGCAGGGTTAAAGCATCTGAAAGAAAGCTAATGGGTGTTTCAGGTGATTACCTGCAAGAGTCAGCTTAGGCATTAGCAGCACCACAGAATCACATATGTAAAGGTGGCCATACAACTTACAACCATTGTAAAACTTTTGTTGTGCAGACATTTCACCTTCATACAATTTTCTTATAACTAACCCATCATGCACAGACCAATGCAGTTCACAAATAACGCTTGCCAGCATCACCACCTAGCTGATTTACATTGATCAAAAGGACAAACTTTCGTTTGAGCATGTGCGGTTTGCATCTAGAGATTTTCATTGTACAACCACGCCATTAACCTGTCAATTTACATCCAAGTAGACAAACGTTTTCTGCTGAAAGACAAAAAATCTCCAGATAATTGTAAGGTGTATGGGGTCCTTTAGGCGCCCAGACCAAGTAGGAATATCTCCTCCACCCATAATGAGCAACAGCAGTGTACTTACACCTTGTTAGCCATGCCCCGAGGATCACCAGCGGGGCTCCCATGGACCTGCACCATTTAGGAAAGGGCTCACAGGGAAGGCGGACAGCAAGAACTTTATCCCTGCTAGGTAGGCACACTGCTCGGATCCTGACATGTAGGAGGAAAAAAAAGGAACGGCAAGCCAGGGGACTCTTTCAGCTTTTATGAGTTACGATCCTGATTAGGGGGAGGAGGGAGGGATTAACCCATTCGTGTGCTGCCATGGAGCTGACAGGAAAGTAATTTCTAATCCACAGATAATGAAAGTTCCACAGCAAAATAAGTTAATTGTGAATAATGGTGGCCAAAGATCTCTTACCACACCAATTCTCTGTAGATGTCCACCAGTCAGCTGTCTGTTTTGATGGCCGCTCCTGTATGCTGGATAGAGGTGGATATAAGTAGGCTGCAGCACCAATAAGAGGTGCAGGCCACACTGTCTTTCTGGCTGGTCTCTGCACTTCAGGCACATCTCTGGGGGAGCCAGACAAGAGGAAGCCCGAATGGCCTGGGGCCTCCCCTCTTAAGCCTGCACCTTCTTCACTGGTGAACTTGTGGATCTTTCTGGGTTGCAGAAGGCTCTTTTTCTGTCCCTGCTGCAGTTCCCTTCTCTCTTTGCTCACACTTCACAGGTTTGTGTCTTCAGGCATCTCCTTGGTGTCTAGTGGGTCCTTCTCCTCTGCTACAGGCTGTACTCACGCAGCACAGCAAGTCTTTCTCCTACTCCATAGCCTGCTCCATTTCTTATTTCCAATAATGACATTTAAAGTATAGCTTAGAAATATGGGGTTTGCCATAACTTACTCATTTCTCTTCACCTGGTATCAGATCCACCTGTTGGTGAAAATCCGAAATTTTGGGTAGTAATCAGATGCAGAATAGGTGGTAAATCTTCTAATTGGGGCACTAGTTCTGGTGACCCTGCTGACCACCAGGGATTTCCCTTACTTTGGAGAGATTTCCTCTCACCTCCTGTTATGGCCATGGAACAGGAAGTGAAGGGAAATCTCCCTAATGGGACACAGATGGCAAAAAAAAGCCCCCCTCGTTCTATCCAAAATGAAAAAAAAAATGTTTTGGCTTCAGTTCTTCTTTAAGTATACTTGACCCTCACTCATGTATGTTATGTAGGTTTTAGACGGATATGAAAAATCTTCAGTGACTTTGTAATAAATCATTATGCATTTAAACTTACCAACTAGAAACTTGTGTTTCGTTTTTTTTTGCTTAGGTAAATGGATTTCATCCAGAATGTAAACTGCAATTGGAAATAAAAGAGGAAGAAATAAAATGCATTGACAAGCTGCAGAGGCAGAGGACAGCTGGGTTTAGCCGCGGTAAGAGCTCCACGGAGCAATCTTACATTTGTTTTACTGATAGTATATCCAAAAAATCAAAATGTGGAATGTACCCTGTAAGTCGTTATTATATACGTTATCTATGTGAACATGCCTTCTGGAGGCTTAAACCCTGTTATGACCTGAGGTAATTGAAGCCTAGATACCCAGGCCAAATTTAGCGACATCAGTATTTATCAGTTAACATGGCTATCTGACAATTACAGTATTAAACAGAGGCACACTGCCATCATCAGGCTGCAATGGCATCTACAGTGCCATGGTCATGCTGGAGGCTTATTTTTAGAGGTGCACAGAAATTACATTTTGAAATAAAAAATAAAAAAAAGTCAGGATAAAACAGAAACCAAAATAAAACATTTCTAGCTTTTTTTAATTTTTAAAAAATATTGAATTTTTATTTATTTTTTTCTAAACTTTGAATTTTTTTTATATTATTTTTTTGTTTATTTTTGTAATAAATATATATTTTTTTAACTTTACTGTTGGGGGCTCTGGGGAAAAATCAGGGATCTAAACAGACCCCTGATATTTCCCGTTTAAAATAGAAAAAGAGATTGATGACACAGAGCCCTCAATCTCTTTTTCTGCAGCCCCTTTCTTTCTTTGAGGCCATTGTAACTCAAAAGATATACTTACCAAATTCTAAGTCCCACCTGGCTGCTAGACGAGTCCCTTGAGCCTCTTCTTCCCTGGTTCCAGCAATCTAAGGACCTGTGACATCATCACGACTATTCACTTGCACTGGATGTGAGGACACCAAGGGACATTCATTAGCTAAAGTGGAGGGGGAGAGAGGTTTTTTGACTGTAGAGCAAAACAAGCATTTGACCCTTGCAGTGCGGTGGTAGCCCTACCAGCCTAATATACATAGGTGATCATTTATTTGGAAGGAACAAATGATCACTTCAAGGAAATCTTGAAGCCACTGCCTACATTTTATTGTTTCCTGTGCATTGTCCCTAGTATGTGCATAGGCTTCCAGTCACGGGCAGGGTAGAGGGAAATGCGACACATAGTCTGTATGGCTAATTTGTGCACCTTTTAGGAATACACAAGACAAAGAGCATCAGTGTGCAATAACCAACTGAATATCAGCTTCCGCCAGCTTAGATAAAGCCAGCTAACAAGACAGTGTATGCTTGTTATATCATTATTTTTTCTTGCAAGAAAAAAAAATAACAGAAAAAAATAAATATCAAGTCCTTGTTACAGTTTGTTTTCACTTATAAGGCAAAGTTTTAAAATAAACTTAACAAGATAAGATTTTTCTTTTATGTATTACTGCCAGAGACTGATGGTTTGTACAGAGGCCGCTCCAATTTGAAATCTGTCCCACAGAGTTATCATTTGGTCATATATACAGTACGAGCATGATCATGTTTACTTTTGTTCCCCATGGTCCCTGTGTGTGTTGTAAAGTAGCCACCGCTCCAAGATCGCTCTCTTGATGGACTACAATCTCCATACAAATTAGTAAACTAAATATGAGATTGTAGTCCATCACAGGAGCGAGCTTGGAACGGTGACTACTTTACAGCACACAAAGGGACCATGGGGAACAAAAGCAGCCACCCTCCAGAAGGAAGGACAGTGTCAGCTGGAATTCAAAGATGATTTGAGGATCTACAGCCGAGTGATACACAAATAAGATACATTTTTGGTAATAGTTAAGGTACTTGAATGCATTTTTAAGATGTAACTTATGAATTTATTGTCACTTTAAGTATTTAGAAAGCACAATATTATCTGTTTAGGTCTAGACTCTAACTGAGGGATCATGTAACGCGAATGATCAGTGGAGCAGAGTCTGACACATTCTGTTATGTGTGAAATTTCAGCATGAGTTATTAAGCTCTGTAAACAGGATTTTTTTAAGCACAGAAGATAAATATGCAAATAGTAAGTTAATGGAGGTGGAAATGTACAGTCCAAAACGTTGAATCACAGCCTAATGTCAAAAGGGGAATGAAGATAAATGACAGATCTGAGAAAGTTTTCTTCTTGGGATCTCATACTCTGTCCACATTTGGGTGATCTCTGATCTCTTTAGAGAAGCCCATCCTGCATCTACCTAACAACACAGCTATTACCTTTTGTATCTCTTCCCCCTCCCTTTATATTGTAAGATATTATGAGCAGGGCCCTCCTGACCCTCTTGTCGTGCATTGTATTGTAGCTAGTGTCTCCCTTTATTTTGTAAACCACTGCACAGACTGTTGAGGCTATAACAATCCTGTATAATGATAATAATAGTAGTAATAATAATAATGAAAAATTATGAGGACCACTTTTGTGGTTGATTGAAGGAGATTTTTCTTTTTGTAAAAGGAATGCTTACTTAGCTTAGTGTATAAGGTTAAGCTGTGTTAATTGTGAATACCCAATCATGTTGATGATTTAAAGAACAGGCTTTCCCATAAATGTGTAAACCCCAACATTCATTAGGTTAATAGCATCTATTTTTCTTCACTAGATTTTTGTAAAATCATTTTTGCTTACTTAAAGTAAGACTAGACTAGACTAAAAAAGAAGATGTGCTATGTTATAGGGGAACCTTCAGACATGTTAACTGTGCCTAAGCAGTACCATGAAAAATGAGCAGTTCTATTCCTGATATGTGAGTGTGCCGAAGGATTTCTGTGCCTACAGCCTCATAGATATATATATCTGCAGTGTGAAATCTACAGTACAGCTGCCTCTGACTGATACAGGAGATTTGGTGTGAGATTTGGTGATGTCACTACTGTGCTGATTACTGTTCTCTTCGCTGGAGGCTCTGACACGAGGAAGCAAAACCCTGTTTCCATACCAAGATGGCAGCCTCTACGCAGAGACACAGTGTAGAACAAGGCATGGTAAGTCAGCAATGGGGAAAAGATCGGCTAAAGGGAGACCACAAGAAAAACTGACTAGTCCGTTGCCTCTGCCTGCTTTTTTGGCACAGTTTTCAGACTTCAGTTCCTCTTTAACTCATGCAGTTAGACTCTAAAGCACCCATGTCCAACTGTTTATTTTCCTCTTACTCCTTTTGTGTGACCCTCAGCGGTTTAAGGATTTATAAAAGCAAATGAACTCTTACCCTTCCTTAAATCATTTTACAACTAATCAGCAAATGTTTTATGGCCCTGTTCTCTGGGATTAATTATTGTAAGCTACAATTTTCACTATAATAAGTTTCTAAATGCCATAATCTTTTTTTGAATTAAGTAGGTGTTGCTCTCATTAGACATAACGCAGCCCACAACAGATATAATGCAGCACTTCTAAAGATTTTGTCCAGCTTCAAAATGCCTACTCTAATTTTATTTTGGCTCAGTTAAAGAGGACTTGAACTGTGGAAACTGTGACCACAAAGGCAAGCAGTGGTCAAAATATTGGTGGTCACCAGTATTGGCTGTGGTTTCTCTGCAGCTGATCTTTTCCTCACTACTGACTTACAATGCTTTGTTCTGCACTGTGGCTCTGTGTGGAGGTGGCCATCATGGTAGAGAAGCAGGGCTTTGCTTCCTCATGTCAAAGCTGCCCCCCTGATTACTGGTGATCTGATGGCTGGTGGGGAGATAAAAAACCAGATCCACACAATAAATGAAGCAGGAGCAGGGAGATCTTTGTACTGCAGGTTCTCAGGTACAGCTTCCATTCCAGCATGGAGAACATTGAGCAGGACCACAATGACATCATCACAGGGATGTGCGGTCAGGGGAAGCAGGTGAAGCAGAGCCTCACCTAATATTATGGAGGAAAAAGCTGTCAGCTCCAAGTCTGAAGCTGACAGCTTTTTCTCCATTGAGATCGGCTTCTATCATATAATACTAAAGCTGAGGCTACTAGACCCGAATGGCATTCGGGTTTCGAATTTCCGAATTGCATTCAGGAGCTCCCGAATGCCATTCAGGTCTGGGAGCCTCAACTTTAGTGATATATGTATGGCTCCAAGACCTGAATGGCATTTAGGAGCTCCCGAATGCAATTCAGAAATTGGGATCCCGAATGCCACTCAGGTCTAGGAGATTCAGCTTCAGTATTAATACCTGCATAGGGTTTTTTGTGGTATTCGCACTGAATATTCGTAAACTCATCTGAAACTAACAAAAATTAGGATTTTATCCGAATCCAAAAACCCAAACCGAATTGAATTTCGGATCCAAATCCTGAATCCCGAAATAACGAAATATCTGAACCGAACCGAATTTTTTCTCAGCTTGCATGGCTATTAGTTAGCAAATCTAAACATTTGAGTTCAGGTCCACTTTAAATTTAGAAATTTAGAGGGTTATTCACAAAGCTGCCAAAGGCAGCCGAGTGAATAACCCACCCAAAGTGAAGTGAGCCAAATGCTGTTCGGCTATTCACTTCAGGCTAGTACAGTTGATTTCAGCCGTACATCGGCTGAAATCAGCTGTACATCGGCTTGCTCCGGCTGGCTTCTGTTCAGCCGAACATGGTCAGCATGTTCGACTGAGCCGAAGTGAAGAAGGAGTTCCACTCAGCCGATCCAACATCCGGATCGGCTGAGCCAAACTTCCGGCTGCTCACTCGCTGCCATTCGGTCTATTCTCATAGGGGCCGAACGGCAGTGAGTGAATAGCCGAATGCAGCCAAGCGGCATTTGGCTCGGCTATTCTGCTTGGTACCTCCGTGGTACCGAGCAGAATAGAAAAACAGTGAAAAAAGTTGAAAGAAAAAAAAAGTTGATTTTTTTTTACAAATTTTATTAAATGATCAATTTTAAGAAATGAATAAAGATTTTTTTTAAATAAAAAAAATTAAAAAAAACAAAATAACAATTGGGTGGAGATAGCAGTGACAGCTAGCTCTGCCCAAATGTTTCCTATTGGACGGGACCTGCTAGGTCCCTGCCAATGAATAACAACTGGGTGGAGCCGGCCGTGACATTGTGGTCGGCTCCGCCAAGTTGTCATTGTTTAACCACTTAAAGGCCATGGTGTTTCACCCCCTTCCTGGCCAGGCCATTTTTCAGTATTCAGCGCTGCGGTCCTTTGACTGATGTTTATTCCGTCATGCAACGCTGTACTGAAATGAATTTCATACCATTTTTTGGGGACAGATAGAGCTTTCTTTTATTGGTATTTAATCACCACTGGGGTTTTTATTTTTTACTATATAACAAAAAAAGTACCCTAAATTTTGAAAAAAAAACATGTTTCCCTATAAAATGTTATGAAACATTTATTTTCACCCCAATTTTTTGGTATAATATAAAAGACGGGGTCACGTCGGGTAAATAGACACTAAACATGTCAACCTTTAAAATTGCGCGCGCCCGCGAAATCGCAGAAAACGTCCGGCAACCAAAATTGGCCATAGGCGACGCTTTAAACGTTTTTACCGCTCATCAGTTTAGTGTCATCAGTGATTGATGGCCCTAGAATTATTGTTCTCACTGCGACGTTCGCGGCGATATGTAACATGTGCGGCATAATGGGCGCAATCGTCGTTTTTGTACATAGGCGCACCCGACGCATGTTTGCGTGTGTATGTGGGGGGGCGGGGGACTTTAAAACATTTTTTGTGTTATTTTGTTTAATTATTATTTGTGAATATTTTTTTAGCTTCTTTATTTTTTTTTAATGCTGTAATTTTTTTTAAACTTTTTTTTTTAGACTTAACTTTATTGCTATAACATAGGGGACTAAGGAATCCCCTATGTAATAGCCAATTCACCAAACAGGTCCTCTTTATGGAGACATCAGGGGTCTCCAAGACCTCTGATGTCACCTAGGGACCCCCACAGAAGCTGATGAAGCAGAGATCTGCTTCATCAGCTTCTCTCCGGTGTTCTGCACCGGAGAGTGACACTGAATGCAGGAAGTGATGTAATATACATCACTTCCTGCATTCGGGGACAGGAAGAGAGATCAAAGGGATGATCAAGTAATGATCTCCCTTTGATCTGCTGTTAGAGCGTCGCCGTGCCGGTCCCAGCCGCACCGGCCACATCGGATCACGGACCGGCAGCGGCGACGAGCAGACAAAGGTATGGGGGGGAGGGGGGAGCGGGGCACACCCGCAGCTCCTGCAAGCGAACGGGCGTCTCTAGAGACGCCTGATCGCTTTTATGTAAACAGCCATCGCTGGCTGTTTACATGCTTACAGTGCTTACAGTTTTCCCTCTCGTGTGCGCGCTGAGTGCCGCACACGAGAAGGGGGAGGGGCAGGACGTCTCAAGACGCCCTCCCGCTCCTAGCAGACGTCCGTGCGGCCGTTCACAAACGGCCATGGACGGAAGGTAGTTAATGACAGTACAGCGTCCCCGGGCAACTGGGCGGAGCCAGCTGTGAGATTATCGGGTTTCACTTCTGCTCAGTCGAGCCGAAGCAGATGCCTTTGGCTCGGCTGAGCCGCTCAGCCAGCTCTGGGAGCTGTACGGGCTATAGAGAATAGCCCGTACAGCAGCCCTTTGGTTCTACTGAACCGAAGGACTCCGGCGGCCGAAGCTAGCCGAAGGATCATTCGGCTAGCATTTTGAATAACCCTCTTAGTCTACGCAGTATTTAAAGGTAATGTCTCACTTGATGGCATGGCAAAAAACTGTTTTATGAAGTGTTTCCTCCACAGATAGTTGTTCAATGTCACAGCAGGGAATATGAACACGGTAATGTTTTCCAAACTAAATAAAGCACGTGTCAATATCTATGTCTGTGCTATGAATATGACTCATTTTCCTGGTGCCAAGAGAATCTTATTTGAAAACGTGTTGTTTAATTTGTGTTATGAACACACACTGCTTGGCATATTCCATGTATACAAAACAATTACAGATTAACAAATTGATCATCACAAAGCTAACCTGGCCGACATTTAACATCGTCGAATGGAAAAAAGATGTTCATAAGAAAAAAACTGAAGGCAGAAAAGTGTTTAAAGCTGTTTGAATCCACAGATCATGACAAAGTATGTTCACAAGTTGCTCTTGGATTAAGTCTAGCCTTGCCTTACAATCCTCCTCCAGGTCTATGACAATTTCGCTGGTTCTGTTCAGGGAAAATCACATTCAATCTTTTAGAAAATTACAGCCGGAGGATCTCAGCAGGAAGAGTTTGATTATTAGGCCAGTCGTTCTGTATTTAAAATGAGTACAACTTGTACAATGGTCCTTCAGTTCTTTCATGCTGTCACAGGCATTTCTAAAAGAAGCTTTATAATAATACTACACAGTGATAGATTTGTTAACTCCAATTTATACTTGGCAATGCATGAACGTGCGTGTGAACGTGCGTGTGAACGAGCGTGTAAACGTGCGTATTTTTGCCATCATTGAACTCATTCAATCAATGGGCTGCTGCATGAACAACAAATACGGCAGAGTAGCTCATGCAGCATTTTCGGCTGTAAGTGTCCCATGTTTTTGTCCCATGCAAAGGTGCACATTTTAATGTGCGTCCACGCACCTGAAAAACAAAGATGCTTTTCCCGGCCGCATTTGGGGTGCTATTAACACGTAATGACACTGCAAGCACATTGCACGTTTTTAAAACATTGCGTGAACACTTGGCGCACATTCACGTAACCCCAAAGTGTGAACAGGGACTATTAGTTTACTGTAGATGAGAAAGAGTTAATAGGGCTTGCTTTCAGTTTAGGAATCCAAACAATTAAAGTTGAACTCAGGCCAAGCAGCTAAATAAACAGATGAAATACATATATGGGAGTTTTTTGTATTGCCAAAAGATTTGAGTTTTTGTCCACTCAGTCCTGAGCTCTACACAGCCCTCCAACTCAACACAGTACTGTCTGGCAGGGGAGGTGACCAGATGTATTTTTTCTTCGCTTCTGCACTTAGATAACACTTGCAGGTATTTTCCTCCCCCAGCCTGTGACCGGACAGTGAAGGAATAGCAGCAGAAAATAAGCACTGTCTTTCTCTGTGTCACTCTGCCTTCTCCAATGCCTTACTAAATAGTCAGATTGGTGGGGCAGTTATTTACTATTGCAGCCTCGAAATTCCCAGTGCCATCTGCCAGTCCATTGGACTATGAACGAACATCGCCACACTTGTGGAGTCTCCCCTGTGCTCCCACCTCCCTCAACTGGCCCAAACACCTCTCTGTCTTCAGATTCCTGAAAACAACACTGTACATTGTGCATGACCTTCCCTTTCTAGCTTTATTATGGGAAGGTAACATAAAGATGCAGTTCTGACACTTATATTAACACACAAGTAAAGCAAACCTGCAGTTTTTTTTTTTTTTAAATGACTTGTTTGCACCTTTCTATACCCCCTCCCGCCCCCATCCTGCACATGTTGTTTAAACATTTGTATTTAGTATTTATATAGTGCCAACAACTTACACAGTGCTTCACATACTGCACATTGACATCAGTCCCTGCCCTCAAGGAGCTTACAATGTAAGGTCCCTATCTCACATGCATACATACACACACATACTAGGGCCAAATAACCTTCCAGCATGTCTTTGGAGTGTGGGAAGAAGCCCACACAAGCACAGGGAGAACATGCAAACTCCATGCAGAGAGTATCCTGGTCAGTATTTGAGCCAGGGAGCCCCAGTGCTGCAAGGCAGAAGTGCCAATTGCGTCACGTTCTGGCTTCCGCCACCTCTGCGGGGCGTGCAATTGGGTTGTACAAGCAATGCGCATATGGATGGAGCTCCATCACAGCACAGCAGCCCACACCGGACCCCAGGCTGAGGATACACCAGTTCCCATAAGGTAGGGAGACTGGGAGGATCTTAAGAAAAAGAAAAGTGTGCATGTGTTTGTGAGATTGTCTGTCAGTGTTTTTAAGGGCCCGTGCACACTAGTACAGTGCGTTAATCAAACAGTCCTGTGCAACTGTACCACGCAATCGCATTAATTTTAAATGTCACCCCAAACGCACCTCCTGCCCACAGTTCAATTGCTGGCACCGGAAAAAACACGTTACCGCAATGCTGTACGTTCCATTGCAGTATGCCTTGGGTCGCAACTTAACAACCAAGGACAAAAGTGGGTCCTGAGGTTACACCGGTTGAGAACCACTGCCTTAATCTATTCACTTGCATGCAAGCTCATGTTTTATATTTTACCAAAAAAATGGGTATAATATTGGTTTTGTTGACACTAAAATTGCTTTCAGAAAATATAGAATGTGCATTTTAAGTGATCTTTGAGCCTAAAATTTGCATTGTAACTTGTGTGCAAAAAAATTAAAAAAGAAAAATGGTTCTGGCAGCGAAAGGGTTAAATGACAGTAGAAAAAAAAAATAGAAGCATCAAACATGTCATCGTGGGACTCCAGGAGGTAATTACTATTCCAGACAGCTGTTTATTACTCACTCAGCTGTGAATATTCAATGTTTTTGTTGATTTTTTTTAAACATTATATTAACATGAATTATCTTTATCTTTGTTGACAGGATGTTTGGGAGTTTGGGATAATGTAACATGCTGGGACCAAGCTAAATATGGAGAAACCATCACTAAGTCTTGCCCTCTCGTGCTACGATATTACTTCACCAAAGATGGTGAGTGACGCTCACTGTGACATTATAAAGAGAGTCACAAATCCTCACTCATATTGACTTTGAACCCAGCTGAGGATGGCACAACTCCGTGCATAACACATTATTTTACCGTCTGTTGGTCTAAAATGACAGATAATTAGAAAGCTAGTTGTAGGATAAAAATAGGCATGAGAAACAGAAAATGAATAGATCTGACGCATTAGCTCACCACATTTCCTAATAGATCATGCTCATTATGTTGTTCTTTGTTGAATATATTTTGGGATAGGTTGTTTTTTGAATGGATGAATGTGTTTATAAAATTAATTCCGTAGTTGACAGCAACATTAATTAGTATTGTTATACATGATCAAATAGAGAGTGAATAACAACTGTCCTTAATTTTATAGGTCAGTCCTAGATCATGACAGTAACAGTAACTAAAATACCTCTGAGTGGGGAGAGTTAACGTCTATGAGGTTTCATTGGTTATGTCTTCCCATACCTGTGACTTTTGTTTAACCTAATCTCTTGCCTTGGTGTCCCAGGGGGTCAGAGCAATACAAATCTGGTATGTTGTAATCCTTCCGCGCTCTATTCAAAACTAAAAAGAAAACGAAACCTCCCAGACCCTCGTGGATTGGATTATTTTCTGTGATTACATTAAACTCTGCCTCCCAAGAACCTCTCTCAACTTCAACTCTGATTCTGCTCTGTGTTTAGGCTTTGAGGCACAGTCAATGCACCTCGTGATGCTGATCTTCAAGTTTACCTTGGCAACCTGTTCCCTTAGTACAATTATACACTCAAGCTGTTTGACAAACATCTAGCTTTTTATTTGGCTCTATTAAAACACTACATGAGCACCTTGGGACACCCAGGTTCTAGAGCACGTGTAACACAAAAATACCAGAGAGGTAGTTGCTGAATGTGAACTGCGTTGGTTATTGACCCTGTGCTAGTGACTCCACCTTAGAAATATACTTTATTACATAACTTAATACATTTAAATTCAAGCTTTCAGAACATCCGGGTTTAAAGCAGAATTCTGGGCAAAAAATGTTATTAACCTTTCCAGTGGCGCTATCCCCACACTGCAAGGGTTAACTGCTCGTTTTCATCCAGGGACTAAAAAAAAAAAGTTATACTCAACTGATCCTTCGAGCAACCTAGCTCTCAGACCGGTCTCTTCCACCTCACTCCCCCTCCACTGCAGTGTTCTAAGGACCCTTGAATCATCACATCCAATACACTGTGTATAGAACTTGTGGATGCTAAGGGACATTCCATCCCGCAGCAGAGAAGAAGAGAGGCTGGAAGAAGCGCTGTAAAAGCCGGACGGCTCTGATGATCGGGTGAGTATAACTTGAAAAATTAAAATGAGCAGTGATCTTTGCAGTGCGGGGGGTAGCCCCACTGCAATGGTTAATAAAAATGTTGCCTAGAGTTTCTCTTTAATTGTCATTGAATCCTTCTGAAGCTGGTTTGCTAACGGAGTTGAGAATGTTTACAATGTTCATAAATTGTGTGAATATTTACTTGAAATCCAGTCAAGTGCAGATCAAATAAGTAAACGATAATTTGCTTTGGCTAACTGAAGTGAATAGTCACACAATGTATTGTATTTATTGTGTGAACATTCTCAATTCCTTTAGTATAACAGCCTCACTGGGCTTGATTTGTTTTGTAAGGGAAATTTCCCTTAGCTAGTGAATGAGATAAAGCTCTGCTGACTTCCACTATCAAATCATGTGCAAGCAAAAAATACTATTTATTCCCCCTACTCCACACCTCATTTCCATAGCATAAGGGAGTGTTCTGTAGTCCACTGAGGAGAACTAGACAGGGTTGACATTTTTTGAAATTTCAGTTCAGCAGAGGCAGAGTACACAGGAGGTGTGATGCGTACTACATTTCAGTACTTCATGCTAAATTTTAAAGAGACAAAACATGGGGACATATACACTATATTGCCAAAAGTATTGGGATACCCCTCCAAATCATTGGATTCAGGTGTTCCGTGAAATTTCCTTGCAACTAAATATTCTACGGTCACCTGTTAGTGGTATTATAACAAAGTGGAAGCAACTGGGAACAACAGCAACTCAGCCACGAAGTGGAAGGCCACGTAAAATGACAGAGCGGGGTCAGCGCATGCTGAAGTGCGCAGAGGTCGCTAACTGTCTGCAGAGTTAATATCTACAGACCTCCAAACTTCATGTGGCCTTCAGATTGGCACAACAACAGTGCATAGAGCGCTACATGGAATGGGTTTCCATGGCCGAGCAGCTGCATCCAAGCTTTACATTACCAAGTACAATGCAAAGCGTTGGATGCAGTGGTGTAAAGCACGCTGCCACTGGACTCTAGAGAAGTGGAGACGTGTTCTCGGGAGTGACGAGTCACGCTTCTCTGTCTGGCAATCCGATGGATGTGTCCGGGTTTGGCGGTTGCCATGAGAACGGTACATTGTGCCAAGTGTAAAGTTTGGTGAAGGGGATTATGGTGTGGGGTTGCTTTTCAGGGGTTGGGCTTGGCACTTTAGTTCCAGTGAAGGGAACTCTTAAGGCATCAGCATACCAAGACATTTTGAACAGTTTGGGGATGGCTCCTTCCTGTTCCAACATGACTGCGCACCAGTGCACAAAGCAAGATCCATAAAGACATGGATGAGCGAGTTTGGGGTGGAGGAACTTAACTGGCCTGCAAAGAGTCCTGACCACAACCCGATAGAACACCTTTGGGATGAATTAAAACGGAGACTGCAAGCCCGGCCTTCTCGTCCAACATCAGTACCTGACCTCACAAATGCGCTTCTGGAAGAATGGTCAAACATCCCCATAGACACACTCCTAAACCATGTAGACGCCTTCCCAGAAGAGTTGAAGCAGTTATAGCTTCAAAAGTTGGGCCTACTCAGTGTTGAACCCTACAGACAAAGCCTGGGATGCCATTAAAGTTCATGTGCATGTAAAGACAGGCGTCCCAATACTTTTGGTAATATAGTTTATGTGTATTGGGGAGATGTAATAAATTTTCTTTCGCCCAGACATACACTGTAACTACTCCCTGGCAGTGATCAGTGGTCTATACATGAGGTGACTGCCAATGAGCAGTAAATGTCTCAGAAGCAAAGAGATTTTATCATGAGTGTAGCCCTGGCCTTATTACTTTAAATTCCAGCAGCAAACCGTACAAGGAAGAATGTGGGAGAGAATAAAACAAACACAAATGTCTATGAACAATGAAACACGACATGAGAGTGTTCTGTCTAGTCAAGCTTGCAATGTAATTGCTTAATGGTGCTGAATCACTTAATTAACTAATACCCAAAGAGTGTTACAGCACATGACTTCAGTTAAAGTAAATGTACAGTAAATTCAATAACTAAAAGCTCATAGAACATGTACATATCATTTCAAAAATCATTTTCATTATCTTTAAATCTGTAGCTTTCGTTACTATAATATCTTGTGATCTTGAAATAAAGGTTCTTGTTAACATGCTTCCTGTTATAGGGTGACAAGACTCTATCCTTGTCTCACAGTTGTGCTCCTGCATGGTAACCTAGTCACATGGGTCTATGATGAAGACTACAAATGACCATTTAACCCTTTTCTTTGCCACCAACATAAGGCGGAACAAAAATGTCCCCAGCTGGCCAGCTCAGTATGCCTTATGTTGCCTGCATTCAACCTTCTGCTATAAGATCATGGTTGCTGCAGCAGCTATAAGCTTATAATAGAAGGCTATGAAATATTTGCCAATCCTTCCCTTCATAACAAACACTAGAGTGATCAATACTGATCACTCCAGTGTTTATTCATAACTGAGGAGATAGTATGCGTTTACTATGTGCCCAGTGAGGAATAAACAGAAAGGTCTAAAAAATCACTTCCTGTTCATTCATAACTGTGGAGATAGTAAACATTTACTAGTTTACTTGTCTCCTAAGTTTGAGAATGATCAGGCTGCCTCTGTGCTGAGAGCTCCCTGTTCATTCAGTCCTGGGGCTGCAGAAAAGAAGATTGTGGACTCAAACTCTTTTTCTATTTTAAATGGGAAATATCAGGGGTCTGTCTGTTAGGCACCTGATATTTCTCTAAAGCCCCCTGATGATAATGTAAAAAAAACCAATATGGTATAATATAATAATATGATATGATAATAATGAATATAATAATAATAATAAAAAATAGTTAAAAAGAAATAAAGCATCCTGCCACACACACCCATAACATACATTTGCAACAGTGTGCACCATAATGTGGTGTGGTGTTATGCACATGCACTGTGGTGCATTATTAAAACAAATCACAGTGCTTAATTTTTTCTTTTTTTTTTACTTTTAAAAAAAACATTCATTAAACTCTGGGGCAGTGCATGGCAAAGCGTTGCAACGTATTGCCATGCATTGTAATATGCTACATTGCAATTAAATGTATGCCTGAATCATTTTATCGCAGCACACACCAAGGCAGTACACAAGCGGCACTACAATTTAGACTTTGCTACAACACATGTGTGAGGCCAACCTCCAAATTTTTAGCATTTGTTGATCATTTACAGTTTTGCATTCCTTCATTTTGTTATCATTTTGCAAAATGGTGCAATTTAAAATGTGCAAATGTATTAAGTCGGTTCAGTGTTATCTTTTAGATTTAGTAGAAATCTCTTACATTATGTTTTTTTTTTTTTGTACGCTGATAATGAGTTTATTGTATTTTGTATTGAACATATTAATTTGATAAACATTTCCATAACTGTTGCAGGACCTACAAAATTAGTAGCACAATCTTTTTATCCTACCAGTCCTGTTCTTTCAGAAAATGTATGGCACAAAGGTGAAAATAATTAGCCACTCCTTTAGGCTGGGTTCACACCTGAGCGTATTTTTTCAGCTTGTTTTTTTCCATGTTTTTTAGCGCGTTTTTCCGTTCAGTGAAACGCGCGTTTCACTGGCAGTATGATTTTTGTTGTTTTTTCCTTTATTTTCTCTATTTAAAAAAAATAATACTTGTTTTTGTTTCACTTTTAAACTTCCCACCGGCTCCGTCCCCCTGCGACACGGCCACTCGCAAGGGACGGAAGCCGACAGCTGCCGAAGACACAGCGGGGATCGCGGACAAGGTAAGACCTGTATGCTATATTCCCGAGTGTGGCTCGGGGTTACTGCTTTGTTAAGCCCGATCCACACTTAGGAATACCAATGTAAATGCGTGGCAAAACGCCCCAAAGAAGCTCCTGTACTTCTTAGGGCAGAGGGCGTTTTGCAGCGCGTTCCTACGCGCTGTAAAATGCCCAGGTGGGAACCATGGCCATAGGCAAGCATTGGTTTTCACATGTTGAGCATTTTACAGGGCGTAGGAACGCGCTGTAAAACGCCCAGGTGGGAACCAGGCCTTAGTGTACGTTCACACCATATGCACCGCATTGTGGCCGGCTCACTATTTTGTGGGCTCGAGGGGGCGAGGTGGGCCATTGAAGTGAATGGCACTGTTGCCATGCCCTCCGGCCGCAATGCGATCCCCCGAACAGGATCGCAGGGTACAATGTGCCTGTGGTCCGGTGCGGTCAAAATAGTGCGTGCAGAATTTTGACGGCACCGCATCGCATTGCGGCCGGTGGGCGTGGCTACGGCGCCATTCACTTCAATGGTCCGTCACGCCCCCTCCAGCCCCACTGCATATGGTGTGAACATACCCTTAAGGAGCACGAAGGAACTATTTAATTACCGGCTAATTATATTCACCTTTGTGCACAATTCACTTTATCCTGCATGATATACTTATCACAAGTGGACATTTATATGCATTGTGTATGTGTGACTAAAGTGGACAAACATCACCTGGTTCAAGTATTCAAATTTGTTACCACAATTTAATGGATACATTTTGTTACAATTTTTGAAGCACTATAAGTTTGATACAATTGTATGTCACATAGCAAATGCTAAGTATCACATATTCGTTTTAGATATGGAGCGCACTTGAAAGCGCCACAAAATGTATCTATATTATTATTTACTATTCTGGTATTTCACTAGAATTAGTGCTTGCTGCTTAGTGAAAAGCTGAGTGCGAATTGCATTGTTAATTTAACTAAAATCTTATTTTCAATTCCGAACATCTTCTTACTTTTATAGCTTAAAATCACTCAGCCTCATAGTTCTAGCCGACCTGTGACAATGGAACTGTCACAGGTCGGCTCAATAGATCTAGAAATGAGCGAACACATAGCGTCGCTCGCTCACTTCTCAATCAATCCCTGCAGAGAGCCGTGACTGTCACTCACGGCTCCCTGCAGGGATCCCCCCCCCCCTCTCCGATCCGATCCTCCATCGCTGACTGGCGGAACGGACGGGGGAGGGGGCGGGTACAGCTGGCTCTGCCTCTAGATAGGCAGAGCCAGTCGTCACTCACGCAGCTGGGCGGATCCAGACAGTATTGTCCGGATCCGTCCCAGCTGCAGCGTCTCAGTATACCGCAAGCTGCAGATCGCGGAATACTAAGCTTTGGGTCACGGGAGGATGCTAGATTGTGTCCTCCCGTTACCCTTAGGAGAACTCTGGGGAAAAGCCCTAACCCCATAGTTCTCCTTTAAAACGTATGTCCATCCAAAACTTTTTTCTTACTTTTGAAAAGAGCAGGTCATGATTAGACCCCCTTCCAGGTTTTTAACTGGAGCTCCATTAGAGAGATTTGCCCTATGGGCTATGTCCTGTCCTGCTGGCCAGACAGGAAGTGAAGGGAATTCTCCAACAGCAACATAGTCAGAAATAAAAATGCTTTTCTTAAATAGAGTAGGGGAAGGTTGGGACCCCTCTCAGTGTCCTTTTTGCAGATTCTCCCTCAATTCCTGTCTGGTGACACCATTGTCAGCTGTAAGGGAAGTGAGGGTGAATGTCTCTAAACAAGCACTGGATGCATGCTATTCAAAACTAGAAAAAATGGTTTTGGCTAGACATACACTTAACTAGAAGGGTGAATTGGATAGAAGGGTGGATTGCAGATTCTAAAAAAAAAATTATTGTTATGTAAACTTTATCAGTATACAAAATAATTTTGTATTGATCAAAATTTCCATTGACAAAGCTCCAGTTTTAAATTAACTATCCTGCGACTGTCCCAGAAAAAATATTATGCTATGGATTTGTGGTGGAGCAATATAACATTGTTTGTGGACTGTAAATACCCTATGCCAACATTTGTGTTACCCATTGTCCTCTCTGTGTAAGGCATACATAAAATGCTAAACTCTTTTTTCCTGCAGGAAATATAAGCAGAAATTGCACAACGAAAGGATGGACTGACGTTTTCCCAAACATATTTGATGCCTGTGGGCACAATGATAATGTAACGCAAGCTCCTAAGGTAACGTTGGGTTCAGTTATTTTTCTTTTTTGGTGTGTTCAAGAAGTGTTTGTTGGATACATGATGATGATCAGAGAATGCAGGCATGCTAAAGGTTTGGTTGGAAACTTGAGACATTCTGCAGAGAACAGTGAGAGACCCGGGACTTGTTGCATGAGACTAGAAAAGATGATTGATCACTCCTTTACCGATCTATGCTCCCACTACGGACTGCTAGGGGACCAGGGGCCACACAGAACCAACTTCTGTTTTCAGTTTTCAGTTATAATAAATCATATGTTAATATACTGTTTAAAAGTGTTTATACCCACACACATTACACCTACATTTTTCCCAGTGCAGGTTACTAAATGAAAGATATTAAATAGAAGGCAGTCTGAAAATCTTACACCTACACAATAAATAATTTAATAAAGAATACACTCAAGCATAAATGCATTACAATTACTACAATACATATTACTAATACTAAAGCTATAACCTCAAGTTTTATTATTACACTTAGAGTAAATCTCCATTTCTGAGTTCACATCCGCCAACTGCAGTATTCACTTTCATTTCACTCTCTCATCGCCAGGAGTAAGACAGGGTTGGGCCAGTTGCCACCATGGTAGCCACCATTAAAGTGACATTAAAGTAAAAATAAATGTTCCCTCTCCCCAATGTTAAGTAAAACACTTACCTTAAATGATATCTCTTAATCCGTTCTTCCTCTTCTTTCCTGTCCTTTTCAGCCTTCTCTCCAGCGCTGCGGCGGGTCTCCGATCCAGCGCTGACTCCTCTGTCCTTGCTGGCACTTCCTGTCCCACGGTGTCTGCATGCGGCTGCACGAGTCCATAGACTTACCTTGCGTCTCTCCTCGTCTCCCGGCCGAAAATCCGAACTGCGCATGCGCTCGCCCCAAGATGCTTTGCGGCCGCCCGAACAGTTTCGGATTTTCAGAACCGGAGAGCGCGGCAAAGACAGCGGTAAGTTTAAACCGCTTTTAAAGCGTTAAAAAAATAACTTTTTGCATATATCTACTGCTTACTAGCAGTAGATATATGCAAAAAAAGCCGGAGGGTTTATAAACCCTTTAAAGTGAATCTCTTGTTTTGCTGTTCATGGATGAAGCACAGATAAACTAAATTCATACAATGAATATGTAAAACACCATACATCTGCTTGCACATTATTGCCCAAGAAGAATATAAAAAGTTGAAGATGAAGTCACCCACAGAAGGTGAAAAAAAAACATGAAAAGTACTGACAAGGGACAGAATCTAGGAGGAAAGACAGGAAGCTTGATTGACAGGCTCAAATTTCTGGCACATTCCTTAGTTGTACACAAATTCCTACCAATAGCCTGATGCAGTATGAACAGATTCAGAGCAACTACTCTGCAAAGGAGGACCATTTACGGTACATTCACACTGGAATAAGAACCTAAAACACAAGTCAATGGCGGTATGTTGACTTGCATTTGCATAGTCCATTGACATCCATTGTGTTACGTTGCAGTTTTTGGGTGTTTTTTTTGTTTGATCTTTACACTAAGCTATTGATGGTATAGGCTAGTATTGGTTCTGCCTGTCACTGACACACATTAGCAATTTACACGAGTCTGGTGTGTAGCTTGCTCTACTTTTTTTTTCAGCAGAGGGCAGCACGTTGTAATGCGACGCACTGGTGTGAACAGCTCCCATACACCTATTCATTTTTAGATGTCCTTGCGTTGGCATCCGTTGAAAAACAGATGTCAACGGGTCTGGCGTGAATGTGGCCTAAAGCAACTCTGTCAGCAGAAAACATTTTTTTTTTAAAGAACATGTCCTCTGCAAAGAAGATAATTTATACCTCTCCCACCACCCACACTGCAACTGTTTGATGTATTGTAGAGAAACCACTGCCTGAAGAACAATGGATGTGTCAATTTCCTGGTTACCTGCTGTTCTGAATGGTTTAGTCTGCTGCCTCCTACATCACCTACTGTGTCCTGCAGTAATCTGTTGGCTGAAGGAACCACAGAGCACTAGTGGGGACCAGGAAATCAGAACTGGTGGATTCTAAAGGTTCTTCAGTCCGCAGTGAGAGTGCTATCTTTCTTGTTTGCAGCGAACACTTTTTAAAAACATTTTTGCTGAGTAGTTATGTCATAGTCCAATAAGGGGCCTGCCCCTTGAAATTCAAAACCTGGCCTCTGTTGATACATAAGTTGCAAATGTCAACCACTATTGTGAGCAACTGCAATCATTGGCATGAATGGGCAGCACAGTGGCTAAGTGGCTTGCAGTATTGGTACTCACTGGTTTGAATCCCGGTCACTGCACCATCTTCACAGAGTTTGCATGTCCTCCCTGTGCTTGTGTGGGTTTCCTCCTACACTCCAAAGATATGTCTAAATTAGCCCTGTATCTATGTGAGATAAGGACCTTAGACTGTAAGCCCCTCGAGGGCAAGGACTGATGTGAACCATGCAAATATAAATACCGATAATAAATAAATGTACTTTGGATTAGAGTGCCATTTAATCAAGGCATTGTGTAAAGTAGAAGTTGTTTTTATTTGCCCATTGAAATGATTTGAGAATGGAAGCATGATGTGGTTGGCTCCTTAAGGCACACAGTTTTCCTTCTTACATGTTTTATATCTGAATCATACACTTGTTGATGTCACAGTAGGACAAATGTTTGCAACCATTTGCAAACTGTATTATCAAGTCATTATAAAATTATGTTGGTAATAAATGTACCTGGAAATCAATTGCAGAAAACGACTAAGAAAGTACATGTGCAATTTTTCATTCATATTAAAAATAGACTGGAATGCGTAGTAAAGAATTGGTTTTATTATATACAATATGGTACTTTATTTGCATCTGATTATTTGTATATTTATGGTAAATTGTTGGTAACTGGAAGGATTGCTTGTGTTTATTAAAATCCTATTTGTAACAATTTTATTTCATATGCTGCAATTAATTTTGCTGTGTTTTACTGAATTTTTAACTATTTTCCATTTAAGGAAACATTTCTTAAAAGTAGATGAATTGGATCACTGCGGTTTGCCTAGATTCATCTGCCTTTGTCAGTGGTATTTGCCCTACAGATTAAATTTAATGGTAACATGAACGCATGATTGGTGTACAATGCAAATACCAGCAAATTAAAGTTTAAATTATATGTCAAGCTAACAGGTTTTTGTTTTTAATTTTGAATAGAAGTAGAAGGGTTAGAACCCCTTTTAGCCTTTTACTGCTATATGGGGTTTTAGTAAAGTGATCAATACAGACAGAAAACACGATTGATTTTCTTTAGTAGAGCCAGGGACAGCTAGATCTCCTGTCACATTTTTATAAAAAAAAAAAAAAAAAACACAAAACGTACAAACAGCGCTCTTGTAATGGTAATAAGGGGGTGAACAGTGTATGACCCTAGATCGTGTGCAGCCCTGGAACCCAGGAGGAGTGCCTGTGTATCTGCAAACTTGAAACAAAAAAACCCAAACGGACGCAACACTGGGTGGGCTAACTGACCGGGTCGGGAGACCCAGGGAAAATGACAGGAAAACAGTGTGACAATGGGTGCACTGGGCGAGAAACCAATGGATAGCTGAGGAAAAAGAATAAGCACTTACATTTTAATTCATGGGACCAGAGGATGGACGGCCGGTGCAACGGATCCGGTCATCCGTGGTATCTACCTGGAACTGGTGAGCCAGGGGATGTGCATCCACACGGGGAGAGGAGGCTGTGGGCGAGGAAGAAAAAAAGGGGGGGGAAGGAGCAACCACAGGAATGGGGACTCAGTCCGTGGCCCGCTGTGTGAGTGTGGGAAAAGAATCAGCGGTGTCGGAAGCAGGCAGAGCTGCCGTGACCGCGGCTGCGGCTCGTGCTGCTCGGACACTGTCGCAGGCTGGGGTAGTGTGCGGGTGCCGTGGGCTGAGAGTTGTCAGCTAACAGTCGGGTCTGTGATAGGAAGAGGGAAGTGGCGGGGTGGAAAGGCAGTGAGCAACGCGTTTCGAGGAGTGATACCTCTTTTTCAAGCTCGAGAAGGAACATATCGTGGCGGCGGGAAACCGCCGATTTAAATGTGACAGCTGGGTGGAGCTTAGTGACAGTGGGCGGGGGAGCCGCACGCTCGAAGTAGTAGAGCCTCGGCATGTGTAATATTCGGTAAGAGCTAATGCTAGCATGCGAGGTAGCGAGCAGAATAGAAGAAAACATAAACAAATGGAAAAAAAATAGCCAAGCCGAATGCCGCTTTTCACTCACTGCCGTTCGGCCCCTATGAGAATAGGGGCGAACGTTAGTAAGTGAGCTGCCGTAGCTTCGGCTCAGCCTATCTAGTTGTTGGATCGGCTAAGTCAAACTCCTTCTGAGTATGGCTCTGTCAGATGTACGGCTGAAATCAGCCGGACTGAGCTGAATTGAATAGCCGAATGTCGTTCGGCTCTGTTCACTTTTGCTCTGTTATTCACTCGTGAAAGTGAATAACCCTTTTTTAATCAGGAGCCACATGATTGGCAAGGGTCTCATTAGAGATCAGTATGTGCAGACACAAACAAAAATTTGCTGTAGTCAAATTTAAGATTCATTTAACTTATCTCTGCTTTGCTTTTGACCTCACAGTTCATTTTAATTAGTTTTTTTTGTATTTTTATATTGATAAATAAGGTTTAGAGCACGATAAATAAATATTCAGATTGGATTACTTAATCAAAACAAATGACGAAGTGCTCCTATAAATCATTCAATCACATGGAATGATGAAGACAATTTAGAAAATTCAATGTCATAATCTGGGAAGATTTGCAATATAAATGCTCTGTGAGAGGATGTGAACTGCTTAAAGGATTTAAAGAGTAAAATAAGCAATGCTCCAGAAGTTTCTTAGCTTGGTCATTTATAAGGAAATAGTGCAAGATAATTTCATTTAAGCGTTTTATATTTTTAGATGTTTAATATATCTGGTTATGAACCCAAGTCTAGCAGTCTGAAAATTAGATCAAAGTATTACTTA